GAACTTATACAAGTGTGATGTGAAATTTTATCAGTGAGGTATGAGATATCTTGGATCCAGTTTTACAATTAACATAAATACATATTTGGCAAAATTGTATTTTTCGAGGTAAAAGTCGTTTTCAGAGGTAATTAAATTTTTTTTGGGAAAAAAATGATTGTTCAAGCTGAGTATTGTTGTTGTGTTTATATGTTGTGTGTTCACATGCAGCCTTTCTTCGTGGACCATAACTGCCGAGCCACCACCTTCATCGACCCCCGGCTGCCTCTCCAGAGCACTCGGCCCCCGAGCCTCTTGACTCACCGCCAACACTTGACTCGCCAACGCAGCCACAGCGCCGGGGAGGTCAGCCCACGACGACTTGTAAGAAAAAGACGCACAATGCTGCTCTACCTTTCAAATAGTATTTACGATGCATGATAACTAAACTGTCCTCTGAAGCCAGAAGAGAAAAACTTCCTCTTCTTGTTTCTGTAGGTCGGTGAAGACCCTCGTCATGCCGGCCCTCCCGTTGTGCCGCGGCCTCCCAGCACCTTCAACTCCACTAACAGGGGGCAGTGCCAAGATATTGTGCCAGTGGGTCAGTATCCACGCAACACAACACACACACAAACACACAGCCGCCCAGAGATTACAAAAACCGAGCAACAACTTTGTGTCCCCTCGTCTTTTAGCTTACAACGACAAGATTGTGGCATTTCTTCGACAACCAAACATTTTTGAGATTCTTCAGGAGCGACAGGCCGACATCACCCGGAACCATTCACTCAGGTACTGGCACTGTAGAAATCATCTGTGCTAATGTATTTAGATTTGAGCGCTGATAACTGTAGGACAGCAGCATCACTCTCAGCTGAACGTTGTTATGACAACAGGGAGAAGGTGCAGCTGATACGAACAGATGGAGTGTCAGGATTGGCCAGGCTGTCAGGAGATGCAGACCTCGTCATGCTGCTAAGGTGTGACTTCCTTCCTTCCTTCCTCACTCATTTAGTTCGTAAAAAATTTTTCCACTGTGCCGTTTGTTTATTCTTCTTTTAATTGACTTATCTTTTATGTAAATGCTTCCTCGCTGCAGCCTGTTTGAAGATGAAGTCATGTCATACGTGCCTCCTCACGCCTTACTTCACCCCAGCTACTGTCAGTCCCCTCGGGGATCCCCCGTCTCCTCTCCACAGAACTCACCTGGTAGGACGGTCAAGTCACACACCTACACTGCGCGTATTGAAAACTGGAACTGAGGTCAATACATTTATATTTATTGGCTTAAATCATTCCTGTTGAAGTCGCAAAACAGGTTATCGAACAGAAAGCGTTTTTTTGAGACACCCACACGTCTTCAGAGCAGAAAAAGTAATATGTCACATTACTTGGTACTTGGTGATTTTTCATATCCTCCACACCCACATGTTGCATCTTTAGAAATAACTTTGAGACACTGCAGTGTATCAAGCAGACAGCTGTGTGGTTTTACTCACCATCCCTGAGCTATTTTAGCCTCTGTGACTGCACACAGCTTTCCAGAAGCCTCAGACAAGTCTGACACACCCTCTTAAAAAAAGAGGTTACTCCTGATGTTTGCAAAAGGTTTTAGAGCCTTATTTCTTAGAGGTCCTGAAATTAAATCATGGAACAAAGCAATAATGAGGTTTAAATATTGAGAATTGTTCTGTCCTTTCTGTCCTTGTAGGAACTCAGAGAGCGAACGCCAGAGCTCCAGCTCCTTACAAGAGAGACTTTGAGGCCAAACTGCGCAACTTCTACAGAAAGCTTGAAACTAAGGGTTATGGCCAAGGACCAGGCAAACTAAAGTGAATGCAGTGTATTTGTGTGAAGAGAGCAACCGTTCTATTTGGTTTCTTTTTACTTGTGTGTGTGACTGTCCGCTTGACTGTGTGTGTGCCTCAGGTTGATCATTCGTCGTGACCATCTGCTGGAAGATGCCTTCAACCAGATCATGTGCTATTCCCGCAAAGACCTGCAGCGCAGCAAACTCTACGTCAGCTTTGTTGGGGAGGAGGGGTGAGTGTTTGAACACAGAATGAAACCTATAACACGAGTGTGCATGTGATATCATTTCCCATTCATACATACACCTAGCTGTGCCATATCTATATTTAAAATCTTTAGGTTTTTAAAATCAAAACGTCTGTCTGTGTTTGTGTCTGTGTGTGTGTCTGTGTTGCAGATTGGACTACAGCGGGCCCTCCAGAGAGTTCTTCTTCTTGGTATCCAGGGAGCTGTTTAACCCTTATTATGGTCTGTTTGAATATTCTGCCAACGACACTTACACTGTTCAGATCAGCCCCATGTCCGCCTTCGTAGACAATCACCATGAATGGTGAGATTTACCGTACACACACACACACTCACACAGACACACATGCACACAATATACTGTACGATACTATATCACACTGATAATCTCAATGTGTGTGTTTCAGGTTTCGGTTCAGTGGTCGTATTCTGGGTCTGGCTCTAATCCATCAGTACCTGCTGGATGCCTTCTTCACCAGACCTTTCTATAAAGGCCTGCTGCGCATGTACGTACTAATGTGTCGACAACACACTCATGCAAGTACAAGCAGGCTCACATGACTCTGGACCTCTACATTTAGAACTCACACTCTCTAGCTGTGTCCTAATTCAGGAGCATGAGAAAAACAAATTGTCACCAAAGTGAAATGAATCCTGGGTTAAGGATCCACCTATTGGAGCCTTCGTTGCTCGGGTATGAAAAGACACATTTTTTGGCAGGACTTTGAAACGGTTCAGTCGTGTTTCGCTTTCATGACACAAAAGGTCTTCAAATGCACGCTCCTGAGTTGGGACACAGCCAGAATATCCATTCTAAAGCAGTATTTAAGAATCACTGGTTTACAGTACCCCTGCATATGAAACTGGACATATGAGTACACACACACACAAAGAAATGTCCCCACACACGTAATTTACGCTCAAATTTTCTACTATGTAGTCCGTGTGACCTGAGTGACCTGGAGTACCTGGATGAGGAGTTTCATCAGTCTCTTCAGTGGACAAAGGACAACGACATAGAGGACATCCTTGAACTCACCTTCACTGTCAATGAAGAAGTCTTCGGACAGGTCAGACTCTGAAAGAAAGTCTGGGAAAACGGTCGACTTATTAAAACATAT